GTTAACCAGAATATGGAATTGGTTCTTCTAGAATGAAAATACGTCATTTTAGTAAGTAACAGTTTCCCCTGAATTTAATGTCCCAGTTTTTTTGTCTACATGACGTCATCACTTTATACCAGTGAACAGCTATTTAGAATCAATACAACAGCTGTTGTTTATTAGAATGCTAAAGACTGCCTTTTCCATTTCGCGTAAATCTCAGAAACTGTAAGAAGCGATAGATTATTCCTCATGAAAGTTGTCAACAGTTAGCAATTATAAGCATTGCGAAAGGTGTAAGAAGACCGGAAATGATGGAAACTTTTAACGTTTACGAAAATTGAAAATCGGCTATAATTATGGTAATTTTCAACCGATTTCTTAAATAGATACATTTTTGGATAGCCGGAGACATTCCTGAGCAGATTGCAGTTCAAAACTGTCGAATTTAGAAACAATGTCGTTTTATTTATTTTTGCAATTTCCTTTTAAAAAATAAAAGTGCTCACGTGATCGCTTTGAAATTTTCTGCGTTGATGGAAAAGTGGATGTGACTAAGACATTAACATTACTTTGGAAAGTTTGCGAATTTCCCAACCACGCGAACTTCCCGAAACTGGTGATTATGTGCATCATTTTGGCAAAACTGTATTTTTAACTTGGGCCTTTTTCTTTGTGTTTCTAAATCTTAAATAGTTAAAGAACACATCAAATGACCAAACAAAAATGTATGAACTTATAGCCAATGGTTACTATACACACTTTACGGCAAGTTCACACCAATCTGAATAAAATTAATTGAGTCATCTTCACTCAAAGTCGTAAATGTAGACCTCCTCTTAAAACGACTTTATTAATTAACGAATACACCCTTAATCCCCTCGGACGCCAGTGACTTTACGGTGACCAAATGCATTAGAAATGTGTATTCCTTAATTGCCTATACACACCAGGATGTGTCTGTAATCTCATTAACTAAATAAAACAATTAACTACGGAATAATTTGTGTAGTAATTCATTTTAATTTTAAATAGGATTTTTCTCGGGCACCACCCGCACCCAAAAATGGTTGCGCGTGCAATCTTTTTATTGGTCTTGATGAAAATACATAACGCCCTCCCAACAATCGACACGTAAGTCATAAAAAAATATGCCGTATGTCCGCATGTGGTTTCTCCATTCTCGGATATTCGTAAGAATTGCCACGTGGTCCCACCTGACAGGCAATTTGTTATTACACAATATTTTAACCATTTTCCATTCACCAACAGCAAAATATTCCGCATATATACGCAAAATATATCGATGCAAATCGCTGCTTATTAACACCTTTAACATTTTTTCCATATTGAAACTAGTTCTTTTAAAACCCCATACATAAATAGCTGTAAAAGGTCACGTACACCAATAACAGACATGATAATACGCGGAAGGTGGCTATGTCTTTTAAAGATAATGCGGCATTTTAAAATTCACTCTAAAATATTCTAGTTGCTTCTATATAAGTTTACAGAAAGTGGCAAGCGATTTAATCAAAGTCAGGCAATATTACGCAGACACAATATATACCTTTAATTGACATCGACATAACTCTAACTTAAAGTTACTATAGTCTTTCAGAATTTCGCTCAATGTCAGTTTACTCGATCATTCTTGGATGTTGACGTCTTTTAAACGTTGTTTAAAGGCCAACATGAAACGGTGAACATTTTCAATACTTACATGTAGATAATTATAATGATGTAATGATTAGGTCAGCCAGTATGTTAACTGAACCGTTAATAAACACTAGTCATGTAACAGTGTGTATAAACAGTGATAAGGGATATTGAAATGCAAATACTTAAGCAGGTTATGATAATGGACACTTGACATGCTTTGAGGGTATGTTCAGAGATGAAGAACTTATCACCCCAACAGAACCACTGAGCTGCATGTGCGATACGCAATGGCGCCATACACGTGGGAGGGGTTCATTGTCAAATTTGACACTTCAAGGAAGGGTTGATGAAAACTTCCGCTTGCTGTTTTATCCTATCCATGTTTGCTTTCCTATCGGTTCTTGCATAAGATTTACTGTTTAGCGTAACTTTGCTTTAGTGTATTACGTTTAATTTGATCGGGAGACGTGTTCGTCGACGTCAACTTCAACCGACAACACTGCAAGAATTGGAGTGGGTCAGATTGCCCCAAATCGTGATTGGACGGTTGATTAGGAGCATGCCACAACGAATTGCTGAATGTCTGAGGATTGGTGGAGCAATTACTCATTATTAAGACAAAAATCAAAAACGTCCATTTTCACTTTTGACAGTGTATCTCTTTGCAAGTGAAATGGGACCGTCAGATAAGCCGCCCACATGAACTGTTTATGTTCATGTGTAGGAAATTGGCCTGTTATTAACATACACTGGTTACCTCTAATAAAAACAGCAGTGCATTTCCGTAGTTTTGTATTGTTTCTGAATATCCCCTACTTTTTTTGAAGAGTATATATTGTATGCGATGTCCATGTGACGTCCCCAGCCAATCGACCGGATTAAGGTTGTAATTGGAAAATTAAAAAGTGTTTTCGGGTGCCTGCTGCTTAAATGGTAATATGAGAAATAATTTTAATCAGATTGGTGTTAATTTGCCGTAATCAACAACATATGGAAAATGGTATCTGAGATTCAATAAAGATTGGGAATAGAAATGAGCATTACTCAAGGAGATAATGAGAAAGATCGGGCTAATCTGAGAGCCGATTTTTTAAAAAAAATATCCTTTGAATATGCAGAGGTCCAATTAAGTGACGCGCAGATAGTCGCCATCCATAGACTGGCCTCTAATAACAGCGAATACCCCAGACCTATCATTGTTAAACTTCTCCAGTCAGATGTCAAAATCGCTCTCATGAGAAAAAGACAAAATTTTAAAGTGAAGGGTATCCTCCTCTTTGAGGACGTAACTAAACGAAACAATCAACTAATAAATCGTCTGAAAAATAATAACAGCATCCAGAGTGCTTAGGTGTTTAACGGTTCCGTTCATGCGAAGACCTACCAAAATGAACGTCTTAGCTTTGATCTATTTGACAATATCACAGACAAAGTAAACATGCATCGAACTAATAAACATGATTAGTATCGAAGCACAATCATCGATGTTAAATTGCTAATTTTCCCATTTCCAATTTATTGTTTGTGTTGTCATTATACCATCATATCCAATTTATACATTATTATATTACCTCTCAGATGAGATACTTATTGCTATTGCTACTGATATAATAAATAATTTGTATCTATTTTATAATGTTCATTCAGACACTTTAACGTCAAAGGATATTTATTTCAAAAGAATTAATGGGATGTTTATTAAACCAACTGCTATATTAAAATGGGAAGAATATTTAGGTAGACAAAAAGATGAACAAACTATAAAATCCATATTTAATTTAAGTCATACACATATAAAAGTCCGAAATGTCCAGTTTAAATACATACACAAGATAATATACTGAAGAGCACCTATTTATTCAATGTCCCTATTCTCAAAGCCTGTGGAATACTCTTACTGACATCTCGATTAAAAATATGATATACAGTAATCTATCACCTTCTGTCATACATTTTGGATATTACAATCTACATGATGATATTAGCAAATTTGAAAACAAATCCCAGTTAGAATCCATCAATTATATAATTCTTCTAACAAAATATTTCATCTTCAAATTAAAATCTTTAGGTAAAACACCTTCCAACGAACATTATATGGCTTACATAAGAAACGACGGACAGTCCATTTGCTGATTACACTATTTTGCCTATACCATTTTTTTAGGACTTCGAATTTTGTCTAATGGTTTGGATTGTTAGTACTTGGTTTTATTTTATTTTATTTTAATTGAACTTAAACTATCTGCAAATCCTAATTTGAGTTCAAAATAGCAGTATGATGTATCGTAACTCTGATTTCTTAATTAACCCTGGTACAGTGTATACTATATTATTTTATTATTTAAGCCTGTCGGTTGTATCCTTATGTCAACGCATGTACTTTTGTAAATTGATTTGTTCTATTATAAAGGCAATAAACTTTTTAAAAAAAATGCCGTAATGTGAATATAGCAATCACTGGATATACGTACATATAATTTTGTTTGGTCATTTGATGTGCTCTTTAAAGGGTAAAGGACACCTGTGAAAACCCCATCGTCACTGCATCGCAGTTCTAGTTAGCATAATTTTGTTTAATATTCTAGTATCGTTTCACAGTCTTTGGCATCTCGGCCTGAATGGTTGTGACTAATTTGCGACATTGTGCACAATGTGAAATGCCCGAAATCGTTAAATTTATAAAGTTTGATTTTCAATATTGCTGTAATTCGGACCGATTTCAACTATTGTTGCATCTTAGTAACGTCGGGCTAAGGAAAGTTATATGCCGCCAAATTTTACCCATTTTTTTATTTTTGTATATGACTTTTACATAGGAATATAGGGTGGCCTGAAGGTTAAAAAATATGAAAACATTTTTTCTGGATTATCTCTCACTTATCCGTAATTCGTAAAAGAGTTTGGGGCTCTAGCTACGTTTGTCTAAAATTAATTTCATATGCTCTGTGAGTTAATATCTGTATTTTAAAAAAGGTTTTCTGTCAACGTCGGAAGTGACCTAATTTCGGAACACGTTTGGAGTGCTAAATATCAGATTATGGTAATGGTTAATGCAGTTTTGATAGCACTTTCATTGCGCACAAACTGTAGGAGGTTTTCTGTCAAAGTCGGAAGTGACCTAATTTCGGGACACGTTTGGAGTGCTAAATATCAATTTATGGTAATGATAAATGCAGTTTTGATAGCACTTTCATTGCGCACAAATTGTAGGAGTTTGAGGAACTTTGGTACACCAACAGAAGGACTCGTACAAAATTCCAAGACAATTGAATGAATAATAGAAATGGGGTTGACGTCCTACTTTCGGACGTAGTTTCCAATTGCTCTTAATAGATAGAGTCTTCGCGACTTACCGGTAATGGTTCCATTCCCATTCTCATACGTTTTGCATTTGTGCTTTCATTTTCACACGCCTGTGCCAAAAGACTCTCTGCTGCAGCAGACGTCAGATGAGGTGGTGTTGGTCGCAGCTGAAGAACAGGAAAAAATGTATCAATAAGTCGAATAAACAAACATAACATTATTAGTTTTATTCTATAACTAAGATTGGCGATATCTATATCTGTGTGTCTGTATCATAGTAAGAAGCACAATGACCTAGTGTCCGTTGGTCGCTCTGTCACCCCTCTTACCGTCCCAGTTTCTTCGGGATTTCTACTAACCAGACATAAAGGAGGATTTGATTATCCCATCCCACCATATTTTGGTCTGTATGCAAACTTTCGTGTTCCGCACTCAAAAATAAATTGTTACTGTTAAAACAGAGACTAAGATATTACTGGATGAACTACTCAAACCATGTCTGAATATTAAACCAATAAGGATCATGCACTTCGTTAGCTTACCGGTTCCCATCCATTCTGTTCTTTAGTTCTTCTCATTCTTCGACACGATTTAAGATATGTTCTAATTCGTTTCCGTGATCGAACGTGGAATTCTGGAAATTGTCTATCACAGGCCTCTAAAATAGCCTGAACTTTGTCTTTAGGTTGTTTTGAAATAGGAACTGTTCGGTCCAAATTTTCATCCACAAATAAACGGCAAAACATCTACAATCATAAATATTCAAGTCAATGTGTTGTGGTTTAGCAGCGTTATCAATGGGTTTAAATCGTATCATGCAGCAATTTGACTGGGAAGGCAGGCATTGCAGTGAAACATTATATCACGTTTTGCAATTAGTAGCACGGATTTAACTGTAAGCATAACTGTGTAACATTGTTACAATTTGTTATATTTTACCATATAAGTACATGTTAGAATAAAATACACCCTGTTGCTTCTTCAAAATGAAAGATGGAGGTGGAATAAATTAGACTTCTAACGTTGAAGGAAGTTCATGGAGTATGACATAATTCCAATATATTACAAGATTTAGGTATCCATCCGACACATGGGGTAACACGTGCTTACCCTCCTCCCAGTCAGTATTATTCCTAGAATGGAGTTTGTTAGTTATAACAAAATGCTTGATATGCGTTGTTATATTTATCTTTATATTGATATGGTCTAAAACAGTATTACAATGATTCCATATTATTTGTGAGAATGGGTACAACACAAGATATTCCACAGTTTCTATATTAGACTCGCAGAAGGTACTTAGTGTGTTAACTACGTTTTTGATTTTGAATAATTTATTATTTGTAAACATAATGCTGGAGAAATATTAGTATGCAAACCTCATCAGTTTTGTACTAAAGTATTTATTATTTCTAATGCATTTTATACATCTAGATCGCTTAACTCTGTATCGAGAATGTGTTTCCATTTTCAACGGCTCTTGCCCTGTTGAACTTTGCTTTTATCCAGCCGTGATAAATATCTTTTGAATTTACGTTATGAAGCTCAGTTACAATTAAACTATTCGTGTATTGAGTTTTAAATTTCGTTAGAGTCCTTTACATATACAATGTATATTGTAATCACCCTTTCCGCCCGTCGTTCCTTCTTGTCAGCGCAATCGCGGCGTTTTTTATCGAATTTTTAAAAAACTTTTCTGGAAACTTACTTCTATTATCGCAAGAAGAAGATTGGTGGGGTTTTTTTTCGGCAAAATGAGATTAATAGGTCTAGAGTTATGCCCCTTTTTGCCGAACTGTCCACACGTTTTGTCAGCGCAATAGAGGCTGCAGTTTTTATCAGGTTATTCTGAAACTTTCAGGAAACTTGTATTATGACAAGACGAGGACCCGTTTTCACTTCGTCAAAATCGCATTTATATTTATATAGTTGTGTCCATTTTTGTCGAAACCAGTCCATACTGGTTGTAATGCCTGTCGGCCGTTCAAAATGCCGTGAAAGACTGCTTGAAAATCACTGCATTAAGAAGATGAAAACAAGTGGACCAAACAAAGTCAACCTGGTCGCCCGCGTTTGTTTTCATCGGGGTAACATGCTTGGGTGATGGAAATTAATATATAATATATATATATTCCTATATAATATTTATTATCTATCTTCTTATGTATAAATTACCACCATATTCAGCCATTATGAATTCATATGGTATGAGTCATGTTTGAATAGGTGACTGACATATATTTTAAATCTAAAACGAAAAACTACAATTACATATTAAGAATTCTATCATTTTATTCCACAATCTTTACTATTATGTTTAAGAATGTCTAGCTGTTTTTCTATCAGGACCGTTCCATATAAATTTGTAAAATATTGAATTTAGTTTTTGAATAGTAGACACTTAGTTAATAGGGGACGGGTAATGAGGGTTTTTTTTTAAATACCAATTATTTTAATTGTTTGTATATTTCCAATTAAAAAGATAATTTTACTATTTTAAATACTAATTATTTTAATTGTTTGTATATTTCCAATTAAAGATAATTTTACTATTTTAAATACCAATTATTTTAATTGTTTGTATATTTCCAATTAAAGTTAATTTTACGATTTTTTTTCTCTATTTAAGTTACTTTCATCGGTAATATGACTGTCTTTGGAACAATATATAACGCATACATCTATACCGGTTGAATTTAAACTTTAAGAGCGTGTCCGCGTGAGCACCATGCAGGGGGTGATAACCCTTGGGTCAGGGATTTGGACCAAATTTTTTTCTATGAGTATGAGATGGGTTAGTACCCAAATATATTCCCACAAAATATTAGATTGATTCAGTTCATACCGAACTGGAAAATTTGGAATAATATTTCTAATAGAAAAATAAGCAACAAAATTTGGATGATCTGCTATTCGGACAATAAATGATTTGGACAGATAAAATTTGGGCATTAGTAGGACCAATCAGGTTCCTCCTACACACCGATTTTGAGGTTTCTACTGCTAATTCTACCTTTGTACTGGCCGGATACCCAACTCTCTCTGAAAATTGAATTTAATGAACACCAATGTTTGAGATGCTATTGCTCGTTCTTTGCAGGGACGAGGGGCAATACTATATACCGGAAAACACCGGAAAACAACCGGAAAACGCCGGAAAACACCATGTTATATTGAATACCGGAAAACACCGGAAAAACACTAAATGCCGGAAAACACACTAAATACCGGAAACCACCCGAGATGGTGGCCATTTTTGGTGGGAACATGGGACGATGTGCAGATTTTGATTAAGTAGTAGTGTTTGGTGTCAATATATATGTTTACGGGGGAGCAGATTCTCTTTCTGACATTTACAACCATGTAAAATGATGTCATGTTCACATATTTAGCACATTTTCAACATTGCTGCCACTTGTGGAGGGAAAATCAGACGTTGTGCTGATTTTGATTCAGTAGTCGTCTTTGGTGTCAATATCTATGTTTTCGGATCACAGATTCGATTTCTGCCATAAACAACGGTGTAAAATGATTGTATGTTCATCAATTTAGCATATTTCCAAGATCGAGGAACGTTTTCTAAACATATTATAATCATTTATTAACTTGTAGTTGTTATTACAGGTTTCTGAGTCTAATTCTGCTACGTAGACTATTAGCTTATAGCACATTCCTGAAAGCCGATACCGAGTCGTACACATTTGGTATACTATCCAACGATGAAAATTACTAATTCGAGATGACCAGTGAGCTGATATCGATTTTCCTGGGTAGGAAAAGCCTATTCTCCTGGCATGAAGGCAAAGAGAGCGTAACGGCAGCGTGAAGCTTGCGTAAATAACCGTGGCAAGAAATTGACACGCGCTCATCGTGCTCCTGCCACGACCACAACAAGCGCGCTCCAATCAAGCTCTTACTACGCTCATGACCAAGCTCTGGCTACACCCGCCGTGTTCCCACCATGCTCTCGTGGTTAGCCGTAAGGCCGGGATAAGTTCTCGCCACACTCCCGTGACATGCCTACCAGGTGTAAGCCGCTCTCTCGCCACGCCTATAGATACTGTGTCATGTTCACCCCATCCCCATTCACCTTCAAACCAGAGAACGACCAAAAGCCAAGAAATTAAGAACATTTGTTAGTTTTCCTGGTGTTTCCTCTTTGGATGCTAGACTGGAGCAGATGGACGAGGCTCAGTACCTTCCATATAACTGGCCAAGCTGCGTGTGGAAGGAGTCGTTCATAGGAATGCTGTTGCGTTGGAAAAACAAACTGGAAATATAGTTTGTTTTTCCAACGCAACAACATTCCTCTAAACGACTGCTTCCACACGCAGCTTGGGGTCAGTGGATAATATAATATATGCCACAAAGGTTTCTTATAGCAAGTATTCCTATTTCATTTGCAGTCCTATTTTTTATTTCTTTGTATACTGCTTAACATTTAATATCATACATTTATTTATTAATTACCTTTTCAAAAGTTGCAAGTCTCACATTTTTAACCATCGTTAATTTTGTATGACAGACAACATCAACTGAAAGTGTCGATGGCGCCACCAAGTCTTATAATAAAACCAACTTGGAGTCCAACTACTACAACGCGATCGACCAAATAAATGTGCTATTTTCCTTGAACATTGATATTATGAGCTCAGTGGACATAGTTAGATAATATACCTAATGGGTAAACACGACACGTATTTAGAAAATATCCTGCAACAAACGGCGGCCATCATCGAAATATGCTGACTTGGTGAACATATCATCATTTCACGCAGTTGTAAAAGTGCAGAAATCGAATCTACTACCCCGAAAACATATATTGACACAAAACACGACTACGTTTAATCAACATCAGCACATCGTCACATTTTCCCGCCACAAATTGCGGCCATATTAGAAACAGGCTAAATATGTGAACATGTGATCATTTTACACTGTTGTAAACGGCAGAAATGGAATCTGTGCCCCCAAAACACATATATTGACACCAAAGATGACTATTTAATCAAAATCAGTACATCGTCCCATTTTCCGGCCCAAAATGGTCGTCATCTTGGAAATATGCAAAATAGGTGAGCATGTGGTCATTTTACACAGTTTAACTGACAGAAATGGAAACAGGTATATTAAAACCAAAGATGACTACTTAAATCAGCACATTGTCCAATTTTCCCACCAAAAATGACCGCCATCTTGGAAATATGCAAAATAGGTGAACATGTGATCATTTTACATAGTTGTAACGGTAGAAATGGGATCTGTGCCCCTGAAAACATATATATTGGCACCAAACACTACTACTTAATCATAATCAGCACATCGTCCGATGTTCCCGCCAAAAATGGTCGCCATCTTGGAAATATCTTTATGAAGTTGTGGAAAAAAGTCTGAAATATAGTCGCGACCCCTGCCAATATTAATACATTGTCAAATCACAGTTGATATGTCGATAAAATTATAGGTGAAAATAGAAAAAAAATAAAGTGGAATATTATGGCAAAATGGCTACCCTCAAATAATGGCCTTCTCATAAAAAATGTCAACATTGGTTTTTTGTCATGAAACATCAAAACCTTCAAAATAAAGCTTATTCCACGATTTCTACGCGAAAAGCCGAATGATGGGAATTATGTAACAAACCCAATCGGACTATATGATCTAAAACCTATGTGTTATACAAGGGGCATATGAATGTCCAATGCAATTTACACAGAATAAATCATCTTATATGAATATGATATGG